TTGGGTGATTTCACCCCCGTGGCACTTCTAGGGATTTTAGCTCTCACAGCTTTTCTCTTAAATCTTTTCTGCTTGCTTTTTGCAGCTTTTCTTGGATCATCCACATTTTTTGGCTTTTTTAAACTTTTGGGGTCTCCACTGCACCTTTGGCTTTACCTTTACATCTTTACAAACTGCCTTCTCAGGGACACACTGCTTGGCCTCCCAGACCCTTTGCAATCGAGGTGGAAGCCATCTTACCCTTAGAATTTGTGCGTTTTCCTTGCATCTAAAATCAGCACCATGTGGATGCCGCCAAGGTTTGCTGCTAGCTGGAGCAGTAGCCAGGCTTTTTCTTCTCTTGGCTGTAGGGGTTGATTGCCTGGATCATTGGGCTCTGTGAACCTGATTGTGAAGAAAAGCTTCTCTATGTTGCCACCATTTTGGAACTTCATGTGGCCTCTGTCGCCATTCTGGAGCGTGTTGCTCTGTGTGTGTGCAAATTCTTTTATCTTTTTGTTTTTCCTCAGCAATCAAAGTCTCAAGTCTGTCTTTTCAATCCACAGCATTCCTGGAATTTTTTTTTTTTTTTTTTTTTTTGCCAAACTTGCTGGGCTCTTTCCTCTTGATTTGCAACATCAAGCTAGCTAAAAGCCCCCCAACAATAGCCATGCCACAGCCTCAACATTCGATTGCTTTGAAATTTTCTTTTCCAGATTAATTAGTCCATTGTCCTTTGTCTGATTCTCAGGTAAAGTCTCTGGGCATGAGCGAAATGCAGACAAACTTTCTGCTAAGCCATAACACACATGGTGGGGAGTCCAACAACAGTGCAGTCCTTCTTCCCAGCAGAAACCTCCCAAGCCTGGTCTTTACCATGAGGCTTCCTATCAGCCTTCTGGTCTCTTGAGCTGTAACCAGAATCTCCGCTATAGAACAGCCTAAGCTGCTCTAGCTCTGTGAATCCAGGCAACATGTCTGAACCTTTCTAAACTCTGCCCACAAGCCATTTCCAAAGCCTCTTGAAAAACATGGTTAGCTATAGTCACAGCAAATGACCTCACTCTCGGTACCAAATTCTCTTAGTTACTTTTTACTTGTTGCTGAGACAAAATACCTGAAACCCACAGTTAGGAAAGGAAAGGTTTATTTCTTACAGTTTTTGGAGATTTTAGTCTACTCAATTGACTTCATGGCAGCTGCAAAGAGCAAGGCAGAAACTGGCAAAAGAGTGAGACACACCTTTTTCCTGCCATTATATTACATCCTGGCTCCATCCCTAGGCCAATGTAGCACACACTCCCCCAATCCAAGCACTAGACAATGAACCAGTCACAAATGAATAATGCAAAACATGAGGCCTGGGGGCCACCCACATAAACCATGACACTTGGGATGGGCTGGAGGTTTGAGATTGTATTTTGCTCTTTCATTTTGTCATTTTCCTATATTCCTGTAGGGAAACGGAAGAGAAGGTCTCAATTGTTTCTTGTGTTGAGAACATCTGTCCCTATTGCAGGGAGTTTCCCCAGTTGAGTGGTGGTCCTTAGACAGACCCTACCAGATGCCTCCAGCCACTTGGAGTCACACGTCAGGGCCTCAGCAATCTTGGAGTGAAGCCTCAAAGTTTCCCCCTGGGCTGGAAATCACTGTGCACACTTTCAGCTCGCCAGGTGGAATGCAGGTGGCTGCGGGCCCTTTGGGACTTGCTGGGAGGGACCCTGATTGGCCCAGCAGGACCTCTGGGCAAGTCCTCCAGGGATGTGGGAGGCTGGGCGGGACCTTAACAGTCTCAGAGGAAAGCAGCAAAGCTTCCCAGTGGGCTGGAGTTCACCGCGACGCACTTTTGGCTTGCTAGGTGGAACTCAGGCAGCTGCAGGCCTGGTGAGTTCTTGCAAATAAAACAAGTTTGCTTATGTGCATGGTATAGTTTTTACAAATTGTGAAAAGATATTCTCAGGAATACCTTTTAGAAGTGCGTTGTTTTTAAGAAGTTTTCCTTTTGTGGTGTATGTATACCTTTGCTAAACTCTATAGCATGTCAGTTGTACTTAATCATTTGGAAACACATTTATGTCCTGGTGTCTAGGCCTCTCCATTGTACCTCCTGATGTCTCAGTTGCTGCCACTCCTATTCCTAAGAAGCCCATTAAAGCACCCTAACCTGCCAGTTTGGGAGAAGGGTTTTATGTCTTGCATGCTAAAACGGTTTTGTTATGAAAGTAAAATCAGGATTATCTGTACTTAAGAGTATCATCTTTCCTGAAAATGGATTCATAATTTTATTGCTAAGATGGATGTGTATAATCAAATATTACCTTGCTTCATCTACTTGTCACATAGATCTTTGAAGAATGAGCAGTGTCCCTAGTAACTGACCATGTATCACACTCTGTATAAATACAGAAATACGTATAAATAATTAAAGACTATATGTAAAACTTTATAAAATGTACATTCTTCCCTTCATATTAACAAAAACTTGAGTTTTGGACCTAAGAGACAAGAACTTGTATGTTCAGGCATATCTCAGAGATGTGTTTTCATTTCCCAGGCCTTCCAATAAAGCAAGCATGAAAGTTTTGGTTTCCCAGTGGGTATAAAAGTTACATTTGCGTTTCACTGCAGTCTGATAAGTGTGTGATGCCACTATAGCTTAAAAACAATGTACATACCTTAATTTAAAAATACTTTAGAGCTGAAAACTTGAAGTCATGTCAGTATTTAGATATAATATTTTTGCTGGTAGAGTGTTTCACCTCAGTGTTGGTAGCCGTCAGAGTACTGGTTGCTAAAGGTTAGAGTGCCTATTGCTATAATAGGACAACTATATAATTTTCTTTATAAAGATGTACCTTAAAAATGTTGATTAGTGGAGCTACCCTCATCAGTTATCCTAGCTACATCTTCTGAGTAATGTGCTGTAGCTTCTCCACAGCACTTTGCTGCTTTACCTTGTACTTAGGTTATAGAGACAGTTCTTTAAACTTCATGAATCAGCCTCCATTATCTTCACGTTTTCTTTCTGTAACTTCTTTGCTGTCTAGGTTGCTTGTTGCTGAGACAAAATACCCAACACCCAAAGTTAAAGGAGAAAAGATTTGTTTTGGCTAGACAGTTGCTCCAAGATAGGGTAGAATGGCAGAGGGCCACTATAGAGAAAAAAGCAGCCTATGGTAGCCTATGGCAGGGGAGGCAGGAGACAGTGAGCAGCAAGTGACAAACCTGTTTTCTCCTTTTATCCCATCCAGTTATAAACCATTTGAGTGGTGCCCCAAGTACCCAGGGTGGGGCTTCCCATTACCCACACCCAGAAATATGATAAACCAATTAGTGATCTGTCTAATCCAGTACCACAAACCTTTAATTCCAAAACATCACAGCCTTAATCCACATTCACACACCCTAAATCCATCCACCTCAAAAAGCCTCACCTGTGACCACAGGCGACTTTGGAGGACATCCACATAGAAGCCATAACACTTACTTGTTTTGTTCTATGTAATTGGAGAGTTGATCAACACCTTACCATGTATTAAGCTTTGGCATGAGGCAGTGTTGTAGCTGTTGATCTAGCCAAACCGCTAAAACTATATACAGTATCAACCATAAAAATTTTTCTTATTCATGTGTTCACTGGCATAACACATTAGATTTATTTCAAGAATGTTCCCTTCGTGTTCTCAACTCAGCTCTTTGTCAAGAGGCCTTCCTTTCAGCCTGTTTCAGGGTTCAAGATTCTTTCCTTTCCAACCTTAATCATTTAAACTTTTTTACTTAAAGTGAGAAGTATACAATTCCTCTTTTCATTTGAACACTTGATACCACTGTAGAGTTATTTATAATTTCAATATTATATTTCAGAATGCAGAGGTCTAAGGAGCAGCAGAGACCAATACAGCTGGTCAGCAAAAGAGGCAGAATATTTATCTGTTAAACTAATTTTCTATATGGGCATAGTTTATAGTACCTGTCTTAGTTGCTCCTCTCATTGCTGAGAGACAAAATACCAGCATCCAGAGTTAAAGGAGGAAAGATTTATTTCAGTTCAAAGTTTGTAGAGGTTTCAGGTCTTAGTTGGATGAGTCTGAGGCAAGATGGCCTAGCTGAGCGGGCATCACAGAGGAGAAACAAATCAGCAAAGCAGTAAACCACAAATAACAATCAGTGATCTTCTTTCTGTCCCTTGTATCATATCTACAGGGATGAATGCCCAGAACTATGTTTAGCCAATCATTGGACTAATTTGGTAATCACACACTCTAAACTCCAGTATCATACAACTTAAACCTAACATCACAAAATTTAATACCAGCATTGCACACTCTAGTACTAGCTACCTCTGAAAGGCTTATCTTCAGCACATGAGGATTGGCGGAGGGGCAGGGGGTGTACAAGGAGCATCTAGGTACAAGCCATGACAGTATCCCAAAACAAATAGTAACATTTTAGATCACTAACCATAGATCACCATAACAGATGCAATAAAATGAAAATGTTTACAATATTGAGAAAATTACCAAAGTAACACCCAGAGACACAGAGTCAACAAATTCTGTTGGAAATAATGACAATTGCCACAAACCTTCAGTTTGTTTAAATAAAGAAATTAATTAAATAATGCAAATCTACCTGTCAATTCCAACCCTGCTAATTTGCCATATTGGCAAATTTTATCTTTTTTGATCCTCATTTTAGAAGTTTAACAACAATAATTACTTCTTGAGAACAAAATGACAAAAATACATGCAAAGTTTATGGTTTTATATTCAGTATACTAGAAGCACTCAAGAAACATTAGTTCTTATTCCTATTACTAGCCTGGACAGAATTTGGTCCAAAAGTCCTGAACATGTAATCTTAACTTTGATCTTCAGTGACTTTTCAGCTTGACTTGTTGTCAGGGGTAGTCATATCTCCAAATACTATTAATATATTCTTTGTTCTCTAGCTGTGGTAAGCTGAAATATTTATATTCTTGAAAGTTTTTATTTAACTATATATCATTTATCTTGCTTTAGATCTGAAATGCGTGAGAGTGGAAGACATGGAAGAGAACTTGAAGAACTTTTCTGCTTTTTAGCACTTCCTCAAAGAGATGTAGAAGAGATATACCAGAATGGATTAAGTACCAGAGCGTCTACTTTGAAGATACTAGGAAATCCTCTTCTTGGAGTTTACTTATTTAGACATGTCGATATTGCCCTGAATTATGCTTATAGTCAAAACAGTACAGTGAAAAGTATTATGATTTTTAAGGTAGGTAACATAAAGCACACGTGGACAGTTTGACTTAAATTGACCTGAACACATTTTTCTTATTAATATGTTAGTATTTGCATTGAATTGTAATATTTACATTAGTTTAGTTGTCAACATTTGGAATTTTTTTTATTTCTTTTTTTTCCTTTTTTCTTTTTTGATAGCTGAAATCGAACTCAGGGCCTTGAGATTGCTGGACAGGTGCTACACTGCTGAGTCTACATCCCAGGCCTGGAATTTTCTATTTCTGACTCTACTTGACAATAGCACAAAGCAATACGCCAAATAAAGACTTCATTGTTTTTGCCTTTCCAATATATACAAACTCTTAACAGTTTAGTAAACAATATTATATCAGTGTCAGTTTATTAATTTTGAATAATTATGCCATGGCTGGAACCATGGTACACAGGAATTTTGAACTACTTGTACTTTGATGGGAGTGGTTGTCAAGCATTGTTAATGTTTCTACTAGAAGAAAGTAGTAACATAAATGCCTACCTTAGTGTAAGGTGAAATTACCATATATCCTTTATCTGGAGTATGATGTATTAATTGCCATTCGGTTTAGAGTTTTTAAACATGTGAAAATGCTTATACAGTCATGTTAAATGCTTATGAAACATTAAACTTCCCAGATAAAATGCCCAGATTAAGAGAAGAAAGAAATGAATCCAGTTACCACTGATAAACTGGATTATCACAGTGTGGACAGTTTTCTTTCTAGTTATCCAAATATGCTGTTGCTTCTTCCCAACTTTTTTATTGGGTAAAAACCAACAAAACTTTAACGTGTTAAAGATTGTAAGTGTTCAGTGATTTTAAATGCATTTATATTGTTGTTCAGTTATCATTGCAATACATCTCCAGTAATCTTTATTAGCAAACTCAGCACTTTTTCCCATTCATCAGTAACTGTCATTTCCCCTTCTCCATCCCATCTACCACAATTCTATTGCTTGTCTCTATGATTTTGATTTCTCTAGGTACTGCTCATAATTTGACATATAGTACTACTCTATTCTTTTTGTAACTGATCTGTTTCATACAACATAATGTGTTGTCATTGTTCATCTCTATTGTCAGAATTTCCTATCCTGCTTATTGACTCATGTGTCAGTAAACATTTGACTTATACATTTTGACTATTATAAATGCTTTTGTAAACATAACTGTGCAAATGTATCTTTTTTTTTTTTTTTTGTCTTTTTCATTTTTATCTGTACCGGGGATCAAACTCACGACCGCCTGCTTGTAAGGCAGGTACTTATGCTGCTGAGCTAAATCCCCAGCCCCTCCCAAATGTAGCTTTTAATACCTTAACATTTAATTATTTTGAGTGTGCTCAGAAGTGGAATGACTGGATCATATGGTAAAATGTTTTTCTTAGTGTAGTTTTTTATTTGCTCCATTTGGTTTTTTTGTTATCATTGTTTAGTTTTTGAGACAGGCCCTTGTTATGTAGTTCAAACTGGGCTTGAACTCACTGTGTATACCAAGATGGCCTCAAACTTGCACAGCCTCCCGTGTGCTGGGATTACAGTCGTGCAGCACCACATCCAGTAGTTTTGACAAACCATCATGTTTTTTTCTTTTTTTCTGACACTTCCTACCAAGAGTACATAAAGGTATCAGTTTCTCCATATCCTTACCAACACTTGTTAACTTCCCTTTTTTAATGCTACCTCTTGAAATGACTTAAGAATCTTCTCTCTTTCATTTTTGGAAAAAATTTGAGAAGAATTTATGTTAGGTATGGGACTGAAGAGCACTTGCCTCACATAGTCTAAGACAATAGTTGTGCATATGTACCCCAGTGGGCTGTTTATGTCACTGAAGCTCTAAAAAGTTTGCCATCCCCGCTCTAGGCCTGGGATGCAGTCCATAGCACTGGGAAAAAAAAAAACAGTCATTTAGTTCTCTGTATTTTTGTGTTCCCTGTTGTGCTGCCTCGGGTCTGATGTATGTTATTTTCTTCCTTTTGCTAAGTTTTGGATGTGTTTCTTCTTTTACTTTTTAAAGTTGTAAAGTTATTTGTGTAGATTACTGATTTGAGATCTTATTTGTTAATATATGCCTTTTTTGTCTATAAATTCTCCCTAGCACTGCTTTCACTATGACATTTTAGTATGCTGGGGTTGGGGCTGGGGATTTAGCTCAGCGGCATAAGCACCTGCCTTGCAAGCAGGCAGTCGTGAGTTCGATCCCTGGTACCGATAAAAAAAAACAAAAAGACAAAAAAAAAAAAAAAAAAAAACAAACAAAAAAAAATTAGTATGCTGGGGTTTTTTTCACTTTCTTTCATCTCTTTTTTAAATTTCTGTTTTAGTGATTGGCTGTTTCAATTTCCACAGATTTGTGAGCTTTCCAATTTTCCTTCTACTGTTGGCTTGCTAACCTCAGAAAATATAATTTATATTTTATTTATCTCTTTAAGTCTGTTGGAACTCAATTGGTTGCCTACCAAATTGTCTGTTATGGACAACATTTTGTGTGTATGCTTCTTTGGAGATAGTTTCTACATATGTCTGTTATATCTAATTAGTGTATTTTGTGTTTTTAGCCAGTTTTTCCTTACTAATCTATTTGATGGATCTACCCATTGTTGAGAGAGGGTTTTCAAAGTCTCCAATTATTGTACAAATATTTCTTCCTTAAATTCTGTCAGTTTTTGCTTCAAACATTTTCTGTATGTGCTGCTAACACAAGCATAGCTTCAAACATTTTGATAGTCTGTTACTAGGTGTGTAAATCTTTATGTTGTTTTGTCTTCTTGCTGTGTTGAACTTTTTATTAATATTCAGTTGCCATAGGTTAGGAGTGTTCACTACTTGCCCAGAACTACCAAAATAAAGTTCATTGTCCAGGTTTTTTCTCATAACTTGATTTTTTTCTAGTCTCTTGTTAGGTTTTCTCTTCTTTAATGATAGTTTTGTTTTTCTCATGTATTACTCACTTGATTTCCCCCATATCTAGAGTTCCTTAAGACAGTTATATTGAAATCTTTGTCTAGTGCAATGGTGCATAACCTATGACACATACTACAGTGGGGTCTTTGTAACATTGAAAGCTCTAAAAAGGATTAGCCATCTGTAGCCTAATAGGTCTGCCTTCAGGTTTTATTCATAGGCAGTTTCTGTTGTTATTTTTCCCCACTTCAGTGGGCCATAATCTCCTATTTCTTTATATACTAAGTGGTTTTTGTTGTTCCTTGAACATTTGAATTTAATAGTGATTGTTTTCAGATGTTTTTGTTTTTATTGTTGTAGAATGCGTTTCTGACAAAGATCAGTCTAAAATGCAACCTTAGTGTCTCCTAAGGTCCTTTTCTGAGCCTGTCTCTGCTTAGTGATTTCTGTTTTCCTCGATACATTTACTAATGAGGTTTTGTAGGGGGTTGGGGGAGGTGAAATTGGTTTGGTTTTTGTTTTGGCAATGGCAGCTATCAAATCCAGCGACTTGCATATGCTAGCTCAAGTACTCTACCACTGAACTTTACATGGAGTCCCTGATGTCTGCTTTTAAATGTCACAGTCTCCAATGTCTGCCTCCTAGGAGGAGTAGGAGATGGGAGACACTAGTCCTTTCAATCTGAAAATTATTTTAGTTCAAAAGGACAGTGGCAGGGGCTACTGCCTCAGTGTATACCTTTTATGAGAAGCAGCGATTAGTTACCAGAACACACATCCTAGTGTTTGTTACTGCTCTTTCTGCCTCCTACAAATGATGTGAAAGCTGCTGCAGGACACACATAGCTGCCCACCCTGAGGTGCCAGGGGTTTGGAAAGGGTAGATGCTACTATGCTGAGAGCTAAAACTGGCCTCAGTATGCCAGGAATTTGCCTAACACATTTCATAATGTTGGAACCTGTAAGGTTTTGTTTTAACTCTTAAATACTTTAATTATCCTTGTAAATATGTTCTCAAATGTTTGATTATATGCTAAGACATTTTTTGCCACTTGCTAAAGCACATGCTCGCCCACTGAGCCCCTGTTCACTGAGAATTAATTTGTTCCTGTTGGTCAGATTAAGAGGCTTATCCTGGGGCTGGGGATTTAGCTCAGCAGCATAAGCGCCTGCCTTGTAAGCAGGCAGTCGTGAGTTCAATCCCTGGTACCAATAAAAACAAAAAAAAATGAAAATAAATAAATAATAAGAGGCTTATTCTGAGAAAGGTTGTACCAGTTGATTTTCCACCCATAGTATGTGAGCACAGCTGTTATCTTACATCCTCACTAAACTTGTATATTATATTTAGTGTAAATATTTTAATACTAAATTTATTGAGGCATCATGAGATTTTACTTTTTGCCTTTACAATTACAAGAGGTGCTCAAAGTGATGGCCATGAGCTACCAGGCATTTATTAGTACATCAAACTGCTGCTCAGATAACCTCAGTCATTCAGATTGCTACACATGCATTTTCAATTCCTTCTCTAAAGACTGGCAGTGTAGTGGGGTTTCTGTGATTCGTGACACCCTCTAGCATCCTCTATTACAAGGGTAACACCGTACTACTTTTCCTGAAGTATACTTTCTTTTGCTGGACTCTATATTTGTTCACTATGTTTAGTGAATTTCCTCTTAATGTCCTCTGCCATTTGCATGGTTATTTTTCCTTTTTATCTGTTTGATTTGTGAATATTATCAATTGGCTAAAGAATATCTTGAGATAGATTTTTCTCTGTATAATTTTTTTTGTTTAAAATAAGCTTTCTATTTTGGACTACTTGTAGATTGACAGAAAAATTACAAAGCTAGTGCAGAGAGTTCCTGCATACCATACACCCGGCTTCCCCTAATGTTAGCAGTTTATATGACTGACACGTGTCAAAACCGAGACCTCTCATTGATACTACAGATACTTGCTTTTGCTAGACTTTCTGTGCATGTTTCTTTGTGTTCAAGTACCTAATTTAGGATACCACATCACATTTAGTATTTATTTTTTGTTTGTCCATTTGTTTGCTTTGGGTTTCACTTTTGTAACACAGGCTGATCTTGAACTCACTCTTGCCTCCTCAGCTTCCTGAGTGCTGGAATTACAGGCATATGCCACCATATCTGACTTGTTTTGCTGTGTGTGTGTGTGTGTGTGTGTGTGTGTGTGTGTGTGTGTTGTTGTTGTTGTTGTTGTTGTTGTTTTTGAGATAGAATAATGCTGTATTACCTTGCTGGCCTCAAATTTGCCAATCCCCTCCCTCAGCCTCCCAAGTACCTGGAATTACAGATGTGTTCCACTGTTAAGTACCTTGTTTTGATTTTTATATTAATGTACTGACCATTAAAAACAATAGTAATAGAATTTCTGACTTTCTATAAAATATTTACCTTTTATGATACTCCTTGCACTTAGTTCCAGCTCTCTTTTGTGAATTATGTCTATGGTTTGGGCTTTACAAAAACTTTGGACTTTTTTCTGTTTGAAGCTGTGAAGCTTTTAAGTATTACATGGTGAAGTTTTTGTGTTTCAGCATATGGTCCTTGGTATAAGTTCTTTTTTTGTGGTTCTAAGGTTTGAGCTCAGTACCTAACACATGCTAGGCAAGAGTTTTGCTACTGAGTTACATTGCCAGTCCTCATTGGTATTATTTCTTAGAAAAGATTTCACATTTTGATTTTAGATAAATATTTGCTTGTACTTAATACTTATTTAATTTAATGTTTATTTTGCTTTATAAATTAACAAAGACATTTAATTTTTTCTATTGTTCCCTACTATTTAATAATCTCTTCTTGCTTCACTTCTTTAAAATGATACCTTTAGGGCTGGGGATATACCGTACTGGTAGAAGTCTTGCCTAGCATGCAAGAAGCCTGGGGTTCAATCCCCAGGACTGCAAAAATATAAAAATACTTTTTAAAATGAAAATAGAATAAAATGATACCTTTAATAACATACTATTTTTTTTTTTTGTCTTTTTTGTTTTTATCAGTACCAGGGATCGAATTCATGACTGCCGCCTTGCAAGGCAGGCACTTATGCCGCTGAGCTAAATCCCCAGCCCCCCCATACTATATTTTTAATATCTGTGTGGACTTACGGGCTTTTAATTTTCCAATTTTTGTCTTTTCTCTGCCTTTTCTTGTATTAAAATATTTTAATACCTGGAACTGCAAGTTACCTGTTGTGTACCATTGTTCTCTCTCTGACCTAACGTTTAGAATAATTTTTTGAATATTCTTGTGTAGTCTTTTAAATATTTAGACTAAAACTCATTTCAAAAAAATAGATTTTCTGAAAATGTTATTTGAACTTTGCTAACTTCAGTTTAACCAGTCCAGTGTTAAACCATTCCATTTATCTGGGACATAGATTATTTTTCCTATTCATAGTTGTAGCCTATCAAAAAAAGTGTTAGCTTTACTTTCCTAATTGATACACGAAAGTTTAAAGTGTTTTGATGGTTTTTTTTTCCTTAGGTTCTCTTTGGGAAAGTAAAAAAAATTCAACCTTCTATGGATATAAACAAACTTCCTTTGGATCCTTTTCCTAACTTTGATTGCCACATGTCAAGAAGTGTACCGTCTCTGAAAGATACCATCGAGCTACAAGCCTACAATTCAGTTGTATGTTAACATTATGTTTCATTTGACTTGAAAATCACTTAATATAGTGCTTAGTATAGTGACTACTTTTACTTAGATGTACAATAGATTAATTCCTAACTTGGAACCCATACAAAATTCTCTTTTAAATTAAGGCTTCATAGCAAGAAGACCATAATTATTATTTGTATTTCAAAATTGCTGATTTCAGATGTTTCAACATAAAAATTGGGTATCACCAATTTTAGATATGTTAGTTTCATTTAATCATTCTGACACATGTGTAGTCAAAATACCATTTGTACTCCATAATTCTGATATATTACAAATGTTAATTTTAAGATGAATAAGGCTATTTTGAAACAGTATTAACAATTCTGTGTACTTTGGAAGATAAGAAAAGCTTTATGTATTTAGCCGTGAGGTGAAACGGCAGTTTTCTATCATATTTTGCTTACTTTTGTAGGCTTTTAATGTCCAGAGAAGGTTAAGTTTTAAGTAAATGAAGGTAAAGTTTCTGTACATGAGTATATACATATGCCTACATGTAAAAAGTACTAACATGTTTGCCTAATTTTTCTATCAAAACAATGTAATGGTTCAGAATGTATGCACAACATTTAACTGTTAATGATTGCATAATGCTTCCTGTTTGAAAAACAGATTATATTTGTTTCTGCAAACGTTGCAAATACTTGGTGGAGGGAAAAAGAATTTTATGTATCTTTAAAATTTAAGCTTGAAGCGGACAGGAGGGAACTGTACATGGAATTAGGTAAATTATGTAATACCATGCAGCTATGCAACATTTTTTAAAGTATGAGCTTGAATTTAACTGCCAAAATTCATCAGCATAAACTTGTTTTTGTTTTTATCCTTCAGGTGTATTTCTATGAGTACAGTGTCTTTTCAAAGCCAGTAGATAAACCTAGGCAGTGTCTTCCATATGGGATAGTAACGGTAAAATTTATTGGTCAAAAAATGGATATTGGGCACCTTACCACATCTTTGAGATTGCTTACAACAGGATTTCCTAAGAGACCTGGTAAGATAGACGCATTATTCTACTTCAGTGGTATTGTGCTGATGTTAAAATTGCTGAATATTTTTTAATACATTGTGTGTCTCTGAACAAAATGGGTTTTTGTAAAATGGGTTTTCTTTATTATTTCAATTTACAAAGGAAATTTAAGGAATAAATTTATATAAAGTTAGCAAATTCACCTCTACTTTTCAGATTTTTATTTATATACACATATTGAGTATCTTAATCCAAAATTTGAAATGCTTCAAAATCTAAAACTTTTTGAGCACCAGCATGATGCCAGAGAAATTTCACACCATGAAACTATTCATTGCCCAGGATAATTAAGAATATTGTCTGCACTTGCATTCAAAGTATAAAATATATGCAAGTATTCAAGAGACTGAGATAGGAAGATTGCTGTGAGTTTGAGGCCAACCTGGGCTATATAATGACTCCAGGCTATCCTAAATTACATAGTGAGATCCTGGGTCAAAGGAAGGAAAGAAGGGCATATAAAACGCAGTAAATGTTAGAAAAATCTGACCAGTACACTTCTGTTAACAGGAATGCTCATTGTGCTGTGGCAGAGTAGTAGTAATTTGCTTTGGCTCCTGAAAAAGACTTTGTGAGACTTTTGGGGCTTTCTTCCCCTACCTCTTCATCTCATTCTCTTTTTTTCTTCCCTTTTTTCCTTCCATGGTAAAAGAAGCAAGGTAACAGTAGATGGGAGACAACTTTGCCTACAAATATGTAAATGCTGCTGTTAAATACCACATTACTAGAAATTAATATAAGGGTTAGCTTAGAAGAATATTTTCCTATTTAAGTTTTCAGTTATTGTCAGAATCCATTTTTAATATCATGTGCTTTTGTTAGTAGGTCCTAGACTAAGGTAGAGCTTACCATGCATCATTTATACTTTTTTAGCTTGGTGCTAATTGTCTTATCTCTCTGCTCTTCTTCTGAGAACAAATTCTAATCAGCATTATATTATTAGATGAACTTTTAATTAAAATCATTTATGACAATTTTCTTGCATTGATTTGTCTACATTGTTCTTATTGTTTTCACAGAAAGAACATGCTCTCTGAATAACTGTACAGTGGCCAAAAGAATTGGAAAGGGAAAAGATGCTACTGTAATTTTTGAGCATTTCAGGAAACCTGTAGATTCATTTGTTCCAGAAAACTGTTCATGCAGTACACAAAATTCAGAGATAAATTGCTTCGATGCAAATATTTCTAGTTCTTATGAAAATGTGCAAAATGGAAACATGTCTATACTTGATACATATAGTGGGCAGTCAGAGAACAGTTTAGCCGAAATTGGAGGTAATTTTCAAGGACAGATGTATGATTCAAGTCCTCCTTTTGTGCCCAGTGATAACAGAGAAAATGGTAAAGGTGATCATGTGTCTTCCACATATCTTAAAGATATTTTAAATGTTATGTCTACTACTCATATGCCTCACAATAATATTGACTCAAGTATAGTAATTACATCAAAATTCATCAAAGACCCAAGACTGATGAAAAGAGAAGAAAGTATGGGGAAACAAAATAATCCTACAGGCTTCAGTGAGACTTTGTCATTTGAGAAGAATTTAGATGGTAATTCAGAAATGAACCTGTCACATGTGCCAACTAATTCTGCATCTTCATCTGAAGTTACCGTTCATGATTGTGCTGCTCTTTCAGATTGTTTGGATACCACGTGCTGCAGATTATTTTTTGACTCACCATCTGAGACTCACAACATGGGTGCAAAGGACTGTGATTGTATAACACCTAAAAAAGTTACTTGGATTAGACAGTATAACAACCAAGGCAGTTTTTCCTTCCCAGTGTCTTTGTTAAATGTTTCAGAGCTTGAGAACCAAACACAGAGTGAGGAAAAGGCCCAGGGAACCCCAGAGAGAAACAGTGTTCCACTTTTAATTAAGCAAAGCAGCAAGGCACATAGCTGTGCTTACACAGAAGACTCCAATAGTCATATCTCAAAGGAATTCTCTTCGTCTAACTTTAACACTGTAATTCATATTGATCATCCTATGTCTGTTTTCCCACCCCAAAGGAAAGAAAGCATAGATGAATGTATTCAAAATACTGGCAAGATAAGAAACTTCACTGACCCAGAAGACAGTTACAGATATGAAGAAAAGCAAACTTTGGAAAAAGATACTGAAAATTATTTCACAAATGAAACAAAAATCACTCCAAAGAATAATTACATTTCTTCATGCCAAGAATACAATGATGATGAAACCCTTAATTCTTTGGGAGGAAATAGGGAGGAATCTCCCATGTTTACCACAGAGGATAATAAACAGCATCACCTAGCATTGGAATTAGAAAACAGTCTTACTTTTAATACAGCATGCCTTTCACAAAATCATCCTCAACATTCCATGAATTATGAAGATAGCATGTGTACAAGTTTTGAGTTTTCTCAAAAGCTAAGGAAGGTGAATTTGGAAAAAACAGATCAAAATTGTGTGAGCATTATAACTGATGCTTTCCAGGAACCAAAAGACATTCCTCAGACCAGAGAACTGCTTGCTAATTCTATAACTATGTTTCACAGTATTGAAACAGCCCTTAACAATTCAAATCGCAGCAAAACTAGAGAATATGTATGTGTCCAGAGGAAAAATGACAATAAGCCAATGTCATTAGAGGCCATTCAAAGAGACTGCAAAGAAACTGCTTATATTGAAAATGAAGATCAGGCTCACATTCTGTCTGGTAATGAACAATTGAGTGATAAATACATAAATATTCATTTCAAAGGGCTAGGAGATAATGATAAAGAAAACAAAAATGAAGTCAAAGAGGATGATAGAACTTCATCTCCAGAAAACAACGTAGAGACTATATATGGAAATGAAAAGCAAGAATACCATGCAAACAGTACTTTCACTATTACAGAAGACAGGAAAAAGAATAAAAATGGGAACAGAGTAGAAATTCTCAATTCTGAACACATTTCTGGTACAAGCTTGATTTGGGGAGAAAAACGTATAATACCAGAAACTACATTATTAGACAATGAAGATACTCTTGCTGCTATGAAACAAAGAGATATGCAGAACACTGGAAGAAATGCAGAGCATTTGGCTTTGACAGCATTTCTTGAAATTGCAGGTTCTTCAGTAGTAGGTGTAGCTTCAAATCCTGCAATAGAGTTAGCTAGTCCTTCTTTGCGTACATTAAGTGCAAATCAGGAAGCTCAGCAAAGACACCAGTTTAAAGAAACTCATATTTCTAAGAGTCCAGATTTTGGTCTGTCAGTAAGCCACAGGATTATTGATTATGAAATTAATGTGGATAAAAATAAATTACAAGATCCAACTCATCGACCAGGGAATGAGAACTCAATTCTTCCAAATTTTGATGTGGCAAGTGAGATTGAATTAGAATTGGAAACATATGATGAGTCTTTTTTATTTCATCAAAATAGCCATGAAGATATACTTGATGAAGAGTATGAGGCTCTGAAGTCTCGTATCGATTGGGAAGGTCTGTTTGGAAGCAATCATAGAAAGATGGACAATTTGGGAAGCCCCACAAGAGAGAATGCAGACCAGCATCACTCTAAGAACACTATTTCTTCTACTTACCAAAAAAACCTGTACCCAATTTTACTTCCAGATCTACAGGTTAGAATTACTAATACATGTAGACCAACATTTAGTCCCCTTGATGATACCCTTTCAGTGAAAGATAATTTTTACAAATGTTCTACAAAAGCCACAAAAGCAAGAATGAATGAAGAGGGGAAAGATACAGGATTTGAAATTTATTCCAAGTCGTCTTGTGGAAATTCAGGATATCCATGTGAAGATCAGTTTGGTGATTCCATACAGGATTCAGGACTTGTGAATAAATCTGTAATGTCCCATTCTTCTAACTTGAGCCACAATACTGGTAAGAATCATATGTCTGGAAAAAAAAACAATGAATCATTTTCTACTGAATCCTCTAATGTCACAACAATAAATGGTAACCCCACATGTTTATTCACAAAACCAAAAGCTGACTTTAATGATACTAGAAATAAAAAGGACAAGGAATCAAGAATTAGCAAACATATATCTTTTAAGATTCAAAACACGTCACATAAAAATTTGAGATGGCGTGAAAGTTGTGAGAAGGAAAGGAGACTATCCAACCATGACTCATCTGAGTGTTTTTCTTCATTATCCCAAGGACGAATGAAAACATTTTCACAGTCAGAAAGGCACATTAGAAATGTCCTAGATATTTTAAATAGTGAAGCATCTTTGTGTAAAAGCAAACGCCTTTCCAGAAAACTAAACAGAGCTGTTCTTCACTTAAAGAAAGCTCATAGAAGAATTCGCACATCTTTGCATCTTATAGCTAAAGTGGGAGAAAGAAGAAAGGGCCCATTGCCTAAAGCATATGAAATAACATGCAACAATTTTTGGGAAAGCTGTGACCTTCAAGGTTATACTTCTGTGTCTGAAAGAAGATATTCCAAGCATTTTTTATCAAAAATAAAATATGATAAACTTGGGGAAAGAGCTTTTGGCTTTGATATTAGTCAGTCTGTCTGCATGTCAAAGCACACATCATACAAAACAAATGGAGAGAAGATTGCAATGTGCCATTCCAAGAAAAGTGCGACTAGCAGTATCTCCAAAAGTCACACCATTGTTCATGCTAGAGAATTTTGTGATGAACACCAGTATCCTGAATCACAGTTATCACTGTTCTCTATATCCAAAAGTACACATCAACCAGAATATGATAATAACAGTATGGAATATTTAGTATCATCAGAGTTTAAGCCTTTTTCTGGAAAAACTGAGTATCTGCTTTACTCAGATGATAAACAGTCTGAAAATCAAACTGACACAAAGTTATCGAACATTAGTAAATGTGAAAAGCTTAGGAACCATTCAGCATATCACAAGGATGTGGCAAAAAAGAATTCTGAAACTAATGAAGTGATAAGTAAAAGTAGTTTAGTATCTTTAAGGGGAAGAAAAAAAACCAATGCAAGTTATAGAACAGAGAAAAACTGTCAGGTAGTATGTCTAGCCCACACAAAAGTGAAAACTGACCTACTTATTTCTACCTTAAATTCCAATATGAAACTCCTTTTAAATATTGATACCTACAAAGGAGATAATTGTATTATATCTGGCTGTCAAAATAACCCGAAAGAAAGTTTTCCTGTAGAAAGGTGGATAGCTCCAACTGAAAACTATATGAATCCATTCAACATAATTTTAATATCAAGCAAAAAGTACAGTGCTCTTCAGTTATCTGCCACTCCAGTGACAGATACTGAGGGAGAATCTTCAAAATCTTGTTTGGATAAACAGAGAATTCTTACTATAGATTATTCCTCAACACCAACTACTGTGTCACACTTTCAGCAGATAAATGGAGGAAAGGAGCTTCTAAAGACACAACGGTCTTTAAGTTGTGTCTATTTAGAAGAGAATGAAAGAAATACTACTGAGCATTCAGAACTGAATCTAATGGTAACTGAAGAGATTAAAAGTTACGGTGAAAATATGAAGAAACTATCTTTCAGTGATAGTTCTCTGCTCTGCAAAGGTATTATAAAGGATTTTTCAAAAAAATGTATTGTAAAGAAAGATACTTGGAGCAGAAAAATTAGGAAAATTGAGCAAGCAGAAAAAGCAAAAGATTCATTTTACCAAAAAAGTATGTCTGAAGAATCAGTTAAGAGTGAGCACAAAAATAAAAATAAGATCCTAAAAGAAAAGCCCTTTCAGTTAAATATGAAAACAGTTAAAAGTAACTTGATTGATTCTCACCTAAGCATTGAAACTACTCCAGAGGCAGTCTATTTGAATAACACGGTTTCTAGCAGGCTTAACATAAGAAAAAGGGAGGAGAAGAGAAGAACAAGTAGTGCCTGTCAGTTTGGCTATATTTCCAAGCCAGGCATTCTGAAAATTGATCACATGCCTATTCTCCATGCCAACTCTGAAACTTCTAAAGTTCCTGTTATTCAGAAACCTACAAATGTGAATGAATTAAAAGAAAAAAATTGCTCAGTTATTCATACAGCTCTTGTAACAGAGCTGTCTGAGATTTTACAGAGGGCAGATAAAGCATCATCTTTGGAGATTCTGGAGGAAGAAACTAAGGCTTGTCATAATATTCTCCCTTTATTTGTTGAAGCTTTTGAAAGGAAGCAGGAATGTTCACTTGAACAAATTCTCATTTCAAGAGAGCTGTTGGTAGAACAAAATCTGTGGAATAATTGCAACGACAAATTAAAACCGTGTGCTGTTGACTCTTTGGTAGAACTTCAAATGGTAATGGAAACCATTCAATTCATTGAAAATAAGAAAAGGCTCTTAGAAGGTGAACCAACATTCCGAAGCTTGCTTTGGTATGATGAGACATTGTACAGTGAGCTTCTTAGCAGGCCACATGGATATCAACTGCAATCTAGTTTCTACCCAGCTTTTCAAGAAAGGTTAAAATATAATGCATTCTGTGAGTTGCAGAATTACCATAGTCAGTTAATTGAATTGTTTACTGAAACAAAAAGGGAAAATAACTCATACTATGCATTATTAAAATATAGACGACAGATTAGTGAATGTGAAGCCATAATGAAACAGTGTTCTGATTGCTTTAACTTTGCTCTTTCCATTCCGTTTACCTGTGGAGTTAACTTTGGAGATAGTTTAGGAGACCTAGAAATCTTAAGAAAAAGTACCTTAAAACTGATCAGTATATATGGAGACTGTCCTACAGGTCATTCATATCCAGGAAAACAAGACCATCTCTGGATTATTATAGAAATGATTTCCTCAAAAGTTAATTTTATCAAGACCAATGAGGCAATAAATATTAAAGTCTCTCTTTATGGTCTAGAACACATCTTTTTTGATGCTGCAAAAAATCTTGTTTGGAAAGAAAAGAGACAGTCTCTCAGCAAAAAATACTTACAAAAGAAAGAAGTGATACATAAAATGAATGAATGGGCTCTATCTAAATTGCAAAAGATATGTGATACTTTGTCTGAAAATTTAAACAATGAACCATCTTGCAATGTGGAGCTTAAGGAAGATACTATGATCACTTCCAGAAAGTCAGATAGTCTGATTTCAATAGAAAAAAGTACTTTGTTTTCACACTCAGGTATTAGTATTAGTGAAATACTGGATCAGGCTGAATTTGCAGACTTAAAAAAGTTACAGGAGCTTACTTTGTTATGTACAGATCACTTAGAAACTTTAAAAAAATATTTTCAGATGCTGCAAGAAGAAAACATAGATGAAATTTTTATCACAGAAGAAAACGTTTTAGACGTGCCAAAAAATCATAGACATAGGGCTGTACTTTTAAAGCCGGAAGCAACTGAAACATATATCGAAATCTCCATGCTTTCAGAAACAGTTCACTTTCTTAAAAACTCAATGGCAAAGAAATTAGATAACCAAAGATTTCGAGGTATGCTTTGGTTTGATTTGTCACTTCTTCCTGAACTGGTTCACTGCCAAGAAAAAATGCTTTCTTTCTCATTTCTTGACGATAACCCAAGAGATTGCCTTAGGAAAGCAGTAGAAACTGGTATTTCTGAGTGTAAGAAAGATCTGGATGTCATCTACAAGTACAGTGATGCTGTCAATTGTTCATATGCTGTTCATTTATTCTCAAGGGAACTGAAAGAACTTTCAGAAATAAAAAAGCTCCTAAAGAAATCAGAGTACCCCTTTTCCACATATATTGGTTTTGTCCCATATATAATATCCATAAATTATGGAAACACTGTGATGGAGTTAGAACACAACTATTATCAGTTGTCTACAATACTCAAATGTGTAATGTCTGTCCCTCAGAAAGATGTAGGAAAAATTGCCCATATTATGAAAGTTATGAAAACAATTGGCCATATGAAAATTATATGTGCTAAAAATGCTAAATTAACCACTCCTTTTATCCTATGCCAAATGCTGCATAACAAAACGAATAATTCCCAACCGAAGAGAAAAGAAAAGTTGAACGTTCATTTTACAACACCTAAGGAAAATACCAGACCAAATATTTCTGCAAAGGTACCCTCAACTTCAGTGTACATAATCAAAAATGTTTCAAGCTCATCTAAAAGGCAGCCTAGTGCTCTGGACAAGTGTGAAGACTCTCAGGAAAAAGAGAAAAATAATATTTCTAGTTCTAAGAAGAGAAAGGTATGAATGTTTTAAAATGAATTTGCTATATTCTTTTTTTTTTTTTTTTTTTTTTGTCTTTTTATCAGTACCGAGGATCGAACTCACGACTGCCTGCTTGTAAGGCAGGTGCTTATGCCGCTGAGCTAAATCTCCAGCCCTGCTATATTCTTTTTGAGAATGTGTCTACTCTTTAAGCAGACAGATATTTTGCAGAGTTGTAAAAGCTGAGTATGGTTGAAATATTGCCTTGAAAAATTTAACTTTGGTTATCAAAGTATTGGATTAAATTTTTAACTCATCTGTGAAATGTTACATAAATTATTGTACATATGAGAGATGCCTTGCAGATGTCCTTTATTTAGAAAACAGTTTTTAGAAGAATGAACTTTTAAGTAGCTTTTCATTTTTGTTTCTTTCCAGTACTGGGAATTGAATCCATAGCTTCACACCGAGTTCTACATCCCTACCTCGTTTTTATTTTGAGATAGGGTCTCAGAGTTGCAAGGCTGGGCTCAAAATTATGATCCTCCTGCATAAACTTTTCAGAGTACTGAGATTACAGGTGTGCATTAGCACATCTGGCTTTAGTAGCTTTTTAGGGAAAAGTTCATTATAAATATCAGTTAAGTGAACAACCAAATGTTTATTGAGTAGTATCTGTGTACCAAACCTATGCCCAATGTGCAGTGCATATTAACAGCAAGCTAGTGAAGCATACTTCACTGTTAACCTAGATCAGTAATGCCAAACCCTGTAGAGCTTGCAGTGATAATAGTTCACAGTATGGCACACATGTCACAGGTTCATGGTCACTGATCTAGGTGGAGAAATTGAGCAAATATTTTCAGTAGACAATTATCAGGAAGTTAGAAAAAGTCCTATACAAAAACATAATTTGTGTAACACATACAAATAAATAATCCTTAGGATATGTGCATCATCATTCTCTCATTTAAAGGTAAGAAAACTGAGACAGGAAAATTTGGCAACTTTGCAAGATTTCATAGTACATGGGAGAACCTGTATCTAAAACCAGATGTTCTTGCTCCAGAGCCCATAGTAACACTTGTCCCTGCTGTACTCAGGGCTTCTCTCACAAGTCTGAGAAATTATTAGTTCAGAAGCAAACAGAAACCTATATGCAAAATGGAAAGATTCTTTGCTCACTCCAATTTTACATATTTTTGAGTTAATTCTAGTTCTAGAGAACAGTAATTTAATCAGTGTCTTTAAAAACTGTTGGTTGTATTAGTACCTGTTTGCAGTCCATAATGATCATTTGCATCATAGAAGTTGGTATGTGTGTATAATCTCAGTTCTTTTTACTTCTCTTCCCTTATTGCCCCTCCCTCCATCTCTTAGTAACCTTCCCGTTTGCAAAATTCTGTGTCTTTGTTTCCTGCTATCTTCTACTTTATGCTTTATTTATACTTTGAGCTTCTCATAAAAGAGAAATCATGAATTTAAGCTTTTATTTTTGGTTTACTTCACTTAACTTTATGGTCTCAGTGCATCCATTTTACTACAAATGACTCATATTTATCATTTTTATGGCAGTATAGTACTCCACTGGTGTAAATATCACATTATCTTTACCTATGCTGCTGTTAATGTACATATGGGTCCCTTCCAAGATTTAGCTACTGTGAATTGCGCTGCTGTGAACATGGATATACATATACCACTGTAATATAATGTCTTTTATGCTTACAGGAAGGTACCTTGAAGAGGAATAGCTGAGTTAAATAGAATTTCTAGTTTTAATTTTTTGAGGAGTCTCCATACTGATTTCCATAATGGTTATATTAGTTTACTTTTCCACCAACAGTATAGAAGGATTATTTCCCCTGCAACCTTAACAGCATTTGTTACTGATTTTTTTATTATGTAAAATATAAGATTTATTATTTTAACCATTTTTAAGACTACAGTTCATTGGCACTATGTATATTCACAGTGTTGTAAAACCATCATCATTATGGATATATATGTATTTTTATACAGGGAGTCTAAAGGCCTCATATCTGCTAGATGGTATTCTACTACTGAGCTACATCCTCAACTCTATATACATAATTTTATATAATGTTCATAGAATATATTTCACACCTATAGTTACTCATTTTAAACAATATAGGAATTTCAGTAATTTATATAAAAATCACAAATCAAGAATAGTATATATAAATTCAATCTGAAGCCATAATGTGCAATTTTTCACCATTTCCTAAGCTTTATATTGTACAGTAAGATTATTTATAGCTCAAACTTTTCTGTGATCTTTTCATAAAATCAGTAATACCACTTGAAACTATAATTTTCAGGACATGCTTTTTCACGTTCATTCGATAGATATTTTTTTCTCCCAGTAAGCTGTTTGCTACAAGGTATTTAAATTTTCTTATAGTTCATTCTTTTGTCTCCTTAGATGGAAAATGAGATGAGTTTTCTATTTATAGAATTTCCCAAATAGCACAATTATTTGCTTTATTGTGTAAATGAAATAATGTTTAAGGAAATAAGACTTCTTTATTCAGTATATCTATGGGATTTCTCACCTCTAAAGTTTTTCATGAAGAATCAGCACTGATGAGTCAGCAAAAGCTTTGTCACAGTAGAATTTCTTTTCTGTATGTCTTTAGTATGTTTTCAAAAGGCTGAATGATACTTGAAGATTCTCCCACATTCCTTACATTTGAATTTCTCATGCTCATGAGACTTCACATATCAGTAAAGTGAATGCTTCCCACACTGACTGTGCCCAAAAGATCTTTCTTTTATACTTAGTTTTCTTACAATCTCTGCATTCAAAGGATGTGTCTCTACTGTGAACTTTTGATAAACCGAAAGAGTCCCCTCTTCTTATTTTCCCGTAATCATTGCATTCAAAGGCCTATTTTCTTCCTCTCTACCTGTTTTCATGTCTAATGAGACAAGACTCCTTTTTTTAAGGCTTCTGAATTAATGACATACAAACCTTTGTTATGTTGTACAATTTTTTTAAGGTCTGATGAGGTGAAACATATTTTGGAGGACATTTCTACAATGCTCATAACAGTTTTCTCCATAATTCTCTTACTATAAGAAAGCATAAGCAAACTCTTTTCCATTTGACTCATCTTCATGTTTTTTGTCTTGAAGAAATTCTACTCATGCTCCAGTTACAACTTTGGACTTCCTCATTGATGTTTTCAGGATGGTAAACATATCTTGGTTCAGAAAATTCTCTGCTTCCTTTCTTTCTCTCTAGTTCGCCAAGTAGGCAGAAAACTTCTGTATAGCTCCAATTTAGATTATCTTTTCCCACCTTCCACAACTCGTGTCCTTGCTCTACTTTGAAAATCACATCTGTTTTAGTAACTGGATGTTCTGTTCACAGAAAAACACAAATGTGGGGACAAAGTGTGAGGCAAATGTATCGCGTAGCTCAGGTCTGCCTTCTTGAGTTCTCAGGATCCACTGAAATTAGGTTTCTCAAATTTTCCAGCATCACATCCCAATACCGTATTTTCTGATCATAATCAAGTAGATGCCACTCCTCTGAAGTGAAGTCCACGGCCACAGCTTGGAATGTCACTGATTCTTCTCAAAACTTCTGAGACAGTACCTCCATGGAATAGAGATAACATCATGAGTCAAATCTTGGCCTCTTTAGATAGCAGAGACAGAGTTGGTTCTTGTCCCTGCATGTCACCTGTGGTGCTTAGCTGGTCATCAGTAGATTTTTAACCAGGGCAGCTGGAAACTGACATAAGGCTGGAAAATGCAAGAAGGACCTTCAGGTTCTTCCTTGATTTCTAGGCAACAAGTTACCCTGCACTCAGGTTATCTAAAAATTTACTCTTTCCTATGAACCAAGAAACCAGTCTTGCCCTTTTTAAACCATCCCCCAAACGCTTCATGTCACTACCCCACACGGAAGTGCACCAAGAACTAAGAGCTTCCAGAATGTCCCATTGCACATGTGCAAAAGTGTTAACTGATTTCTTATATAGCCTTTCTTCCTAGAATAAGATAGAGTTTCAGTGTTTTAATTTGCATTTCTTTAATGGTCAGGGTGTTGAACACATTTCATCTGTTCTCCATTTGTACTTCTGAGAAGTGTGTTCATTTTAGTTGCCCATTTTTGTAATCTTACACTTTAGAGGGATCTAATTTTTTTTAGTTCCTTATATATTCTAGATATTAGTCCTCTGTCTAAGGTGTAAATAACAAGGTTTTCCCCATTTTTTAGGCTGGTGGTTCATTCTGTGAGTTGTTTTCTTTGCTGTTACTAGCTTTTTTTAAATTTGATATAATCCTATTTGTTGATACTTTAATGTTACTTGTGCAATTTGGATTCTGTTCAGAAAATCCTTGCCTACTCTATGATTACGAAGTTTTACCTGTTTTGTCTTACAGCAGGTTAAGTGTTTCTCTTTTAATATTTAGATCTTTGATCAGTTTTGATTTTAGGTTAATAGTAATACATATACATACATTTTTTTCCTCTGTGGGTTATTAGAATACAAGAACACTTTGGATTTTTATCAGTCATCACCTGTTCCATTTTGTTTATAGCAAAGTGGTTAATAAATAACCACGACCTGAGAGCAGAAGGTACTACTACACATTAAGAATAAAGTGAGCGTAATACTAGAAAAATGATTTGGGAACTGGGCATGGTGTCACATGCTTGCTGTCCAAGGGCTAAGAGAGGAGGATCATAATTTGAAGCCAGAAACATAGTAAGAATCTGTTTTCAAGATTAGTAGAGCTGGGTTTATAGTTAAGAAGCAGAACACTTGCCTAGCATGCCTGAGTACTGCAAAAAAAAAAAGGCTTAGATTGTTAGGTTTATCTGTGGAAGAACACAGACCCAAACCTGTGCATGACAGGAAAATATGTTACCAGATAAAAGTAAAAATAAAGTAAGACACACTATTTACTACTGTGGAGATAGTTTAAAATTTAACTTGGTTAGCAGAAGCTAGTTAGAATGAAATAGGTAGTTCATAGAACTGGGGTTTTAACTCAGTGTTTATTATATGCAAAGTCTTGTATTTTGTCTCTCACATCAACAAAAAGGAGGTGGTAGTAATTTCAGACTACATATAATGTGTTTTAAATATAGGCCTAAGGAGTTTGAATTTCACTCTGTATATACCAAAGTGTAATGTCGTGAAATACATAGCTTTAGTGATTTAAAAGATAAGGAAATTCTGAATATAGTTAGAAATATTAAACAGCTGCAGTTCACGAGAGTACTGATCATAGAAAAAGTAAAAATGTTATACAGGTTGAGAGTATCCTTTATCTAAAATGCTTTGGATCTGAGATGTTTTAGGCTTTGTTTTTTTTTCAGGTTTTTGAATACATGCATAGTGAGATATTTTGGTGACAAGACAAAATCTAAACAAAAATTAATGTTTCATGTACATATGCACATAACCTGATGGTAGTTTTTTTAGTTTTTTAAATAATCTTGTGCATTGAAGTTTCCTGGTGTAGCATATTCCACTCTGGTGTCATATTGGCACTCAAGTTTTGGGTGTGGGGTCATTTTCAAATAGAAATATTCAACTTATATTTAATAGAAATTATTTAAAGAACTGATGGGTCTCAATGACTGAATAATGCTGAATAAACTAGTCATAAATTGACTCCTAAGATTAGTTTTAGGTAAGAACCATATTGCAGTTTTTAAAAAAGTCTTCAAATATGAAATATGGGAAGTCCAACAGAGTCAATTTTTTAGAATGAGATTAACATTTGTATTTTATTTTTATCATCACTAATGGAAGTTTTCTTTGTATTTTTTAAACATAGATTAACATGAACCATGCCTCAGGTATCAACAGAGAGAAGGCAGTGCTCCGGTATCTAAGGTAAGAGCTAAACAAAATTAGGTAAATAGAAAGAAGAAAAAAGCAATTATATTATTCTGTTGTATCATGTGTTTCTTATTATATGTACAGTGTTTGCAGTGAGCCTGTGAACAAAGTTGGGCTGTATTCTGTAACTCAGTGGTTCCCAGTCTGTTTGGCACAAAGGTCTGGTTTTGTGGAAGGTGATTTTCAGCAAACTGAGCAGGCAGGGTAGTTTCAGGAGGATTCAAACACATTACACTTAATTGTGCACTTTGTTATTACATTTAATATATAATAAAATAATTTTACAATTCAACACTATAAAGCCTCTTAATCTGTTCTTAAACTCTCCAACAGCCAACAGCATCACTGCCTCAGCTCTATCTCAGATCATCAGGCTTAAAGTTTTTATAAGTAATGTGAAACCTTGCATTTGAGGTTCATAATAGGCTTTGTGCTCCTATGAAACAGGACACTGGCTTCTGTCAGCCTGCTTTAATACTGTCTTAGGTAAAAGTGCCAAGGATATTTACTGGGCAAGAAATTTTGGAGGTCTGCTTTATTATAAAACATCTTTGGTAGGGAGTTGGTAATCCACAGCTGATAATTATAACCTGTGTGTGTGGTTATTTACAAGTAATGAAAATCACCAGTGTGATCTAGGTATATAAATTAGAAACCACCAATTAGTAATGATGGTTTCTTACTTTTTACTGTGTATTGGGGGTGGGGGATGCTAGGGATCAAACTCAAGGCCTCAAACATGCTAGGCAAGTTCTCTGCCACTGAACTATGTCCCCAGCCCAGTTTTCTACTTTTAAAAGTTCAAGGAAATATTAGAGCACAGAACTATTAATTTTACAGTGTTGGTAATACATTTAAAATGCAGAGTGTTGTATCATCTTCAGCAGAAAAAGTATCTAAACTCCAAGCAAGAAAAGTTTCCTGTATACTCTTAATAAAATCAGCAAATGTCAAGAAATCATCTTTAAAAAACACAAAAAAAAAGCCTTGAGGGCCAGGGATTTAGCCCTGGCAAGTGCAAGGTCATGAGTTTGATCCCCAGTACCACCAAAAAAAAAAAAAAAACCTTTTAAATACAAATTTCAGTTAAAATTTGATTGATTGCAGATATAGAGTGCTTGCCTAACATGCATGAGGCCCTGAGTTCAGTCTCCTTCACCAAAAAAGTTTTGAGTCTATAAAGTTGTTTATCTGTTGTTAATAGGACTACAAGATCTCATCCCAAGGGTGAAAACAAAGTAAGATCCAGGTCATCTGAAAATCTGAAAAGAAACTATGTATCTCCAGAAAGGGATGAAATGCAGACATCACTAAGTGACTCACTTCCGCCTTTAAAGAACCCCCAAGACACTGGGACATCAGAGTCAAAAAGCAAAATAGATTTAACTAATAGTTCACACCATGTCTCAAAACATCTCATTGAACAACAGGAAAATTTAAATAGCATAAAGAAAAGAACTGTGAATTTTGGAGCTCCTGAAGCAAAAAGTTATAGAAAAGATTATGCTGCTTTTGCAACTTGTGACCAGAAAAGTATAAATGGCATTTTGTCGAAAGACCAAGATACGCCTTCACAGAAACTTCCTAAGAATCTCCCAGATCCTGCACGACAAACTTGTCTTTTAAACATAAAGTCAGCAACTGATGACTCTCTTGTGTCTAACTCATTACTGCTCTCAGATCCTATTTCTCATTCTGCAGGGGATATACATACCAACCTAGAAATAAGTGAGATGGCCTTAGAACATCAAGATAATGAGGTGTTAGATTCATCTATTAATAAGTCCACATGTGTCGGTTTTCCAGAACCTTTATATATCCAGAGAAGAATTCTTGATACATTAAGTCCCAGTCCTGTACCTTTTGGAGCGTCTGGAAGTTTAACCCCTCATGTAAATCAAACAACAGAATATTCCTCTTCTGAACAGCAGGATGTAGAGAATCCAAAAGTCCTAACTCAGAAAGCTGCCACATACTGGGATGAATTTCCACAGTCTACCTGTGCCTCAGTATATAATTCTTCTGATAATTCACTGGGAACTCCATACTATGCTTGGTGCATCTATCATTACAGCAGCAGCAATGGCAATGCCATTACCCATACATACCAAGGGCTAACATCATATGAAGCACAGTCACCTCCTCCTGGAATATTGACCACACTTACAAGTACTGTCCAAAACACACATTCTAATCTTCTATACTCTCAATATTTCAGTTACTTTACCCATCAGCCACAAACAAATGCCTTTGTGCCAGCAAGTGGATATTTTCCGTACCAGATGCCTATTTCTTATTTTCAGCAACCAATTGTTTCACAATATGCTTCTTATCAGCCATTACCACAAGCTGTTTACCCTTATCCTCCTACTCCAGGTGTGCTGCCAGAAGCTTCTTGGATTTATGGTGAGTCATATAAGTTTTAACATTTGAATCTCTTGTAAGTTTTTACGTTTATGTAAATGGAATTAACTGATTGTGTATATCAGCCATTTTTCTGTGCATATTTATAGATTTGTTCATATAGCAGACAATTGAATTGCATTATTAACTGCAAATTTGATTGTCAAAGATTAGAGAAAAAGAGCTGGTCATATCAAATACATCCTTAAAATCTCAGGGTATAGTTAAGTAAATTATATTTTGATTCATACAATAATACAATCACTGAAGGATTTATAAAAGTTTTTAATGACATGACACTTTTAAAACTGTATCACATAAATGTACATAAATGCCAACATTTTAACCTGACCACCCCCAGGTGATAATCAGGCATATGTGTAGTTCTGAATTTTCAAGATTTCATACTTTGAAACATAAACTATCTTGATAATTGGAGACAAAATTTGCTTTAAAAAATCAAGCAGCAAAAGGAAATGTCATATAAAATCAAATCTTTTTCTTCTTTCAATGTATTAACAAAATGCAGTATCCTGGTGCAAGTGAATGATGTTAATTGAAACATGTTGGTAGAACTTGGTATTTTGCCTCTGGAAAATTTTTTTCTCTGAACACAAGATTCTATTAAATAAAATTAGTATATAAGTTTTTAATTAAATCAAAATATGCATTTATCAGACTTAAAGCAAAATTCTAAAATAATTATTCTACAGAAACAATAATTACACTCAGATATTCTTCCATCAGATAACATGTACTTTTTAAATAAAGGTGACATCTGTTAATACCTTAAAGAAATTCAAGAAAATTCCTTTTAAACAGTTTCAAATCCTGTCGACTGTTAACAAATAAGTCCAGTACAAAAAATTACTTAGACACTATTAGTCTGACTACAAACAGAAGCAGACTGTTTTGAAGAACAGAAGTGCTAGAGCTTGAACTCAGAGTATGCTAGGCAAGCCCTAAAACACTGAGCTGTATTCTCAGCCTAACATACTTCTATTTCTGATTAAGAAATCTTATAACCTAACTAAAATTCATATACTTTAGCTTGAAAAGCAGAGCTGTTCACATCCCACATATCCAGCCTCATTTGCCACTGCACCCACTTCTATTTTCCGGTATCACTGACCTTACTATTCTCCCATTTGACAGTCCCTCTGGTACTTTGGTATTTCTTGTGCACTTCTCTCACTTAATAAAATTGGATAATAGTGTAGCAATCTATTTATCTTTTCCTTCCCTCCCTGTCCCACAAAATGAGTTTAAGCTGGACAGAAATTTTTTACCTGAGAAAAAGTATAGTGTACCTTAATTTCTCAAATAGGAAATCTTGAGTTTAATTCTTTCATAAAGGCTTTATTTGAGCTTTCCATATTTTAAGTAGTTAAGCTGTTTGTGATATCTAAAAAACATTCTGGAATTAAGTGTAGGTGTGACTTTAAATCTTACTACCTCTTTGATTATATCAATCCAGTGGAAATAAAAGAAAAAAGTTATTTAAAGTGTGCAAAAGGCTATCTCAAAAATTGTAAGGCATTACAATATTTTAAACACATCTAGTTTTCAGAAGTGCAAATGATCCGTAGAGATCATCTCACACTTACATTCAGTGAATTCTTAAAAAGATGTAAACATCTCTGAGCCATGTCACTGCTTTGTTCAACGTGCTTGTATTAAATACTAGAAAATGGAGCTAAAGAAGAGTGCTTAAATTGAGCCCTGTGTGCCAAGTACATTATGTTCTTTATTAACATTTAATTATCACAGAATACCTAAGGGAAACACAGGGATATTGCTTTTTTACCAGTTGGGAAACTACTCTTCAGAGAGTCTTAAATAAATTTCCCAGGATCCTATAGATAGCAAAGGGCAGGGTGTGTAATTATCAACGCTGATCTCTTTGGCTCTAAAGTACTCTTAGATTCTTTCTACTTTGCAATTATATATCATTAGCCTACATCATTTATCTTGTCTAAAATCTCTGTGGGTTTTTCTTCCAGCTCCATGGCAACAGCAACCTTTTCAGCCAAGACACTGAAAATACTCTTTCTACTGAAATAAAGTATATTTAACAGGTTTTTTCCAAGTGTTTATCTACATATTTTTATTTTAATATCTATCATTTATATGTATAGAACTGTGGCTTATAAACATGATAGCCCTTTGTAAAATGTGTAAGTGCAATAATACATCGCTTAAGATAACAGGAAATTAATTTGTAACATCTGAAATATCAAAGTTTTTTCCAGGTAATTCTGAAAGGAGTTAATTGAGGAGTTGATAAGATTAAGGTTAGCGGTAGTAATAAAATATTTCAAACTAGGTTTTTGTTTTTTAATACATAGTTTATTTTGCCATTTTATTGAGCTGTAAAAGAATCTTCTTTCTTGAACTGGCCAACAGACCAGTAATTTCATAAATCTTTACCCTTTACTGATATATTTTACAATTTCATAGCAAATGCCTTTAATTTTTTACTATTTTTACTTATATTTTTAAACAAAATATTGGTTCACATATTTTCAGTTTCATTGAATGATTTTGAAATTTCTTATTTGGAAACAGTTCTAATTATGTAGGAATTAAAGCACATTCAATGACTTTCTATAAGCATTCTTCCCACAATTTTTCTTTTATATGTGTATTTTATATACAAAATACAAATATGTATTTTATAACTTAAATTGTTCTTTTAATAACTTTTAGGAAATGTTTGTATTTATGCAATTCAGCTGTATTATAATAATTTAAATAATGCTGCAATATTCTGGTTATAGTGAGGTTTTTTCCACATTTTGCAAAAGTAAAAAATTTCTTAGTAGTAATCATCATAGGATAATAGGATGGTAGTGTGCAAATATGCCTTGAGCAACATCTTTCTTCATGTGTTACCTTTCTCACTCAACCATTCTTGTTCTAAGATACCAGTCAGAAAAATCCCTCGGAACTGAATGAATCTTTTTCAACTGCTAGTAAGCCTTAAAATGGGACAAGAGGTTTGCATTGGTTAAATCTAAAGAGATAGCCAAGCTTAAAATTTTCCTCAAAGTTTTATTAGGAAATTTTATTATCTAGCACAGACATTAATTTTGCTACGTTTAATGTGGAGTAACTTGTTTTTCAATTCAGAAGGACTGAGATTAACCAAATAGGATGAAAGTCTGGATTTATTAACAACACAGCTGTTTAAAAGAAGAAATTCAAGCACAGAACTGTAATTGAAAGATAAAGAAATGAAAAGACAATAGACTTAAAACAATAGTAAAATATTTTTTTAAAAGTTGTTTGAAGTCAGGTTTCATGAACCAGGTATGAAAGCAATTAACATTAACTGTTATTCAAGAAATTACTTTGTCTCAGCTGTTTCACTTGTTTGTTTATGGAAAGATGTCACAAAGTTTATTAATCTTTCTGAGGCTGAGGATGTAGCTCAGTGATAGAGCCTTTGGCCTGCCATGCATAATGCCCGGGGTTCAACCCTCGGTTCTACAAAAGAAACTATACTCTGTTAAACCAAAAGTCAAATGTTCTAATTAAGTACTCTTCAACAACTTTCAGATTCTGTTGATAATGTCTCAATGATGTTATTTTATTTCTTTTTTAAAAAACCTATACTTTGACAAAATTCAGAACCCTGAAGTGTTTTCCTTTTTCATCCCTCAAGTATATGCTTTGATTTTAACATTAAGTAAAAAATAAAACTGAATAAACATCATAAAAGAAAAAAGCTGGCTTGTTTAGAAGTGTTGTTTTGGAACTTGAATTATCTGAATAAAGTGTGTGTCTTCTAATTTCAGAGGTATTTTCCTTTTTTTCCTGTCCTTGCGTTTCTTGAAAAATGAGAAAAAGTCTACTTGCAGTGGTATATATCTATGAGATCTTAACTATTTTAGAGACGGTTACAGGAGAATTACAAGTTAAAGATCAATGTAGGCAACTCAGTGAGACCCTTGTCTCAAAAAGTAAAAAGCACTGGAGATGTACATAGCTCAGTGAGAGTGCTCCTGTATTTAATCTCTAGAACCAATGAAAAGAAAAAAATGCGAAAAATGTGTGGTCCTTGGTTTACACAGTCATTAACAAAGTACAGATTTCCTCATATCGCAACCTACTTGTTTTTTTCTGTTCATTGGTTTGTTTGTTTGTTTGTTTGTTTGTTTGTTTTGGTACAGGGGATCAAACACAAGACCTCACACTTGCCAAGCAGAAACTTATGCCACTAAGCTAAATGCCAGGCCCTCAACCTTTTGTTTAAAGACTGTTCAAACTTGTGATCCTCTACTTGGACTTACTTCCTGGTTTGTTTGTTTACAATACACTTCTGTATATCTTTTTTACAGACCCTTACTGTGTTTTTTTGTATAGTATACAGTACTGTGATTTTTGCTGATATACTGTACAGTACTGTAGTTACAATATTACATGTAAGAGTTAAATGAGTAAAATCATCAAGTTGGAATTTTCTCTGACCATTTCTTTTGAATATCATACACACTATACACAATTTCCCATTTAGCAACCAATTTATTTCATGGCCTAATCATCTGAACATACTCATCATTAAACTATGAGTGTCTTTAATGGAGTAAAGAATGACTAGGTAACATAAACTGAGATGTTCAGGGAAAGACTCAAACTAAATGTAAGGCTTTGCCTCATTTTCATAACAAGAAAATTCCTCTTGAAAATATTATTTTGGTAAATTGATAAACTTCTAGGGCCAGGCATGGTGACACACTCTTGTAATCCCAGCCCTCAGCAGGCTGAGGCAAGAGGATTGTTGCAAGTTCAAGACGCAAGGCTACAAAGTGAGCCCAACTGAACTGCACAATGAGACCCTGTCTCAAAAAGATACAAAATAAATTTCTAGGGATATAGAGGATATATGTAAATGTCAACCATGTAATATAACATTTTAATAACCATATTTTGCAGGACAGTTTCATTTAGCAGTCTCATGTATCTTTAACATCATTGTCAAGATCACTAGAGGGGCCAGAGATTTAGCTTAGTGGCCTAAGTGCCTGCCTCACAAGCACAAGGTCATGAGTTTGATCCCCAGCACAAAAAAAAAAAGAGTCTTTTTGAGCTCTGTTTTCCAATGCATATTACCCTTCTTAACCACATGAGATGCGCTTTTTAAATCTGTTCATAATCCTAAATTATTGGTTGAGGTCATTCTGGTTAGAATCTTCTCTAAAGACATTAGAGCGATGATTTAGGGCTTCAAAATAAGAGACCAGTGGGGTAGTTGTGGAGAAACAAAATTTATATTCAGACATGTAAAGTAGTTTAAAGTCATTAAATATTTTTATAGGCACAGTACATTTTAAGTTCATACAATATAGCATGGCAAGTTCTCAATTGTCCATGCAGTTTTAAAAATAAAATTTTAAGAAAATTAAAGTTATTGATACCTACATGTCGTGAGTGTCTAGGGCACTCTGAACTCCGGGCAAGGTAAACACACACGCACGCCTTGTCGGGACACGGGGGGTACAGCGCTTGGAAAAGAAAGACAGGAGAGACACCTTTGCTGTCTGCACCGCGTTACACTGCACTGCACTGCACGCACAATCTTTATTTTAGGATTCATATATAGTAAACCCGATCAGTTCACAGAGCCCAGATAATTAAGTAGTGAAAAGGCATTCTTTGTGGCAAGCTACAACGTGACAGACTACAATGTTTATTCTAAAGCTATCTAAGTGAGGTAAATAATCACAACCAGTTCTCATAACCTCTCTAGCCCAGGAAGAAATTCATTAGCTCAAGAATGTTGTTAATTTGTCTGCTGTTAGTGTCACAAAGGGTGGCCAGCCACTTCCTCAAGACTTCTGCAAAACAAAGCCAGCTCACAGTATGGATTCCAGAGGGTGAGGGCTCACTAAGAACAGGCATTCCTATTCTACCTCCTTCTCGCATACCAGGGCGGCTATTGTAAATTGCAGGTTAGAGGGGGTTGGGCCTACAAAGTGACACCTCATCCCCCACACTTCCTTCCTTTTTATTTTTTAACAACAATTTCCATAAGATCAGGTTATTAATAGTATTTCGTCTTATGCAGTAAAAATACACAAGAACTATGGCAATGAGAACTATAATTAAACTAAGTCCCATGCCACTAAAAGTGTGGGTTATGCTCTGCCAGATTCCTTTGGAATCTAATCCTTTCAAAGATTGAGCAAGCAATTGCGCGAATTGTGCTAGGGATTCATCATCATTTTGCTTTGCAAAATCCTTGTCAATTTGATTATGCAAAGATTCTATTTCCTCCTGGGCAGAGGTGTTTCCATTTAGATACATTCTAATCATTTCCCATTCATGTTCTGTTTGATTATAAGGTCGTTGGGTTATACAGAAAGTAGTTGAATTCCAATCACATTTTAAAAACACTTGATGCTGAAGAGCCAATATTTTTCTACCCATCCATTCAACTGTTTGTTTAAGGAGGTCTATTTGTTGTTGTAGTCTGGCGTTTATTTGCCACTGAGTTAACCAAAGTTCATGAGAATTTTCATGCCATAATTCTACAACATGTTTTTCTTGCAAAGAGGTTTGTAAAGCTATTCCTGAGACTGCTGCTAGGGAGGCTACAGTTATCAGACTTAACAGTATAGCAACCACTATTCCAATAAATCTTTTTGTACGTTTTAACAGATGTTTAAAAAATTCAGTAGTAACAGAAATTACTGGGTCTTGAGACCAAGGTCGAGTTAAATTTACAGGCAACCAAATATGAGTTTTTTGTTGTAACAGCATAACTGTATAAGGCTTAGTGAAATTTAGTGTGCTATTTAAGCATGTAAACAATTGACAATTTAAACAAGTACAAGAAAAATGTGTAAAATTAAAAGTTCCCACTAAAAAGACATAAGGCAGAGGTGCACAAACAGTAATATTATACATTTTAAACCTAGTAAAATTATAATTAGTAGATACAGATCGACTAGTCCCTGAATATGAAACATTGTACAAGGTTACAGGTTGCATAGCGGCTGGGATCTTCCAAATATGATTTTGAAGGTGATGAGGGTATTCTTCGGCTGCAACAGCAGGGTTAGCGATTCCACCATCTCCCCACCACAAGAGAGCCGTCTTTTGATGAAATATAGGAGCTCCGTCAGTTATTTTCTTTGGATCTGGAAGACTATACACAACAGAGAGATTACATCTTGTCTCATTCCATTCAGCACATCCATTAACGAATTTTCCAAATGGTCCCCAAATAATATACCCATCAATATTTTTAGCAAATTTTCCCATACATAGTTGCCAAATTATGGGATTATAAGAAATATTTTTATAAGTGAATTCAGGGCATACAGGAAATGTATTTGTATCAGGTGCTGTTAAATTTCTCCAGGTAACATTAAAGGTTTGAGCAGCCAAGGCTTGAAGCCTTGTTCTTTTGTTGCCTGCTTTTATTCCATGTTGAATCCAATACTGCCATCCCAGAGGGATGCAAGGCGGTTCCCCAATGCAAATAGGCCTTTGATTACCATAATAAGTAAAATTGAATAATGTCCCATCATCTTGATTGTGGGGGGTTAAATCAGCCCACGGTGCTGACAAAATTTCTCTAGGTGTGGTATAAAGTAAAATATCACTAGTTCCCCATTTTACAGGTTCTAATAAAGGGGGGTTTGGAATATATGCCCAGTACGAATGCGGAGGTACCTCAGTCCCCGACGCAACAGTGAGCAAGGCACATAAAGCTAAAAACAAGTTTTCAGGGTTTAAAGGCTTTCCTGCTTGAAGGACAAGCCGTTGCCCTTCTATGGTCAATTTCTTTAATTGTCCCCATGTAGGGAGGGGATTTAAATTTGGTCGCTGTGAGCGGCGGGATTTTCTTAGCTTTAATCTGGCCATGGCTGCGATAGGAACAAGCTCAGCATCCTCAGCCTCTAGCTGGTTTCGTGCTCGCTTCTGAAGGCACGGTTCCGGTTCCTTGGGGAGTTGTCTCCGGGGCTGGCGAACAGGGTCTGGAGGCGCGGATCCTGATCCATCGTCCAGGGACCCACTGCTGAATTCCATTTTCTGTGGAGATATAACCAAAACCTCTCCCCTTATAGAGCAATGTGCCCCTCTCCCATTCAGCCTCTGGAGCTGTTTTAGTCCAAATAGGTTCATTAATCACAAAGGGCTGTTGTTGCTGTTCAAAATGTTTTTCAGCTCTAGTTAATATTTCACCTTGTGGTAAATTGAGAAAATTTAAAATAAACAATGCTTGATGCAGTAATGTTTTTGGACTGTTTTGCAATTTAAACAGTATTGGTATCTGAATATCCTCCTGACTCCTCCTTTTTAATTTTTTAATTTGCAACTTAAGAGTGCCATGTGCTCTTTCAACAATAGCTTGACCCTGGGGGTTATATTCAATCCCTGTAATATGAATAATATTATGGAGATCGCAAAATTGTTTAAATGTTTTGCTAGTATAAGCAGGTCCATTATCTGTTTTGATTTTAGAAGGAATTCCCATAACTGCAAAAGTCTCCAATAAATGTACAATAACATTTTTAGTGGATTCTCCCTGTTGAGCAGTAGCCCATAGAAATGAAGAATAGGTATCAATAACTACATGTACATAAGAAAGCCGACCAAAAGAAGGTACATGTGTAATATCCATTTGCCATAACTCATTAGGTTGAATTCCTCGAGGGTTGACACCTGCGGGAATAATTCTTAAATGTAATGGTCTACAAATAGGGCAAGCTTTTACAATCTGTTTAGCTTTTGTAAAAGGTATCTTATATTTAAGATGCAAATGTCCTGCATTTGCATGATTAAATT